CTTGTGCAGCAGAGCGAGACGCTGAGCGAGAGTCACGGCCATTGAGTGCGTGACTGTGACCGCGGCGGGCCATATCAGCGGAAAATCGAATAAACATCTCCCACGAAAGCCCTAGTGGCGCCTGTTTGGTCAAACAGGATAGTGGCAGTCGGTGTGCCCAAGTGCAGTGGATGGTGTTGGAATGGCAGCGGGCGTGGGATAGCCTGGGACGTGCCACGTAGCAGAGTGACATATTGAGCCCGGACAAGAATGGAAAGACAAGCCAGGTCTACAACTTGATGAATGGAAAGATGAAAGAGTAGAAGGGCCAAATGAGTTGGTGGGGTGGCATCACAGCGCATCACAGTCAGCCTGTAATCGGCCGGTCTCCAGTTAGGCTCTTGCTGTGGGAGAAGGCCCTGAACCTATGGTTGCTTCCCCACAGAATCAGAACGCTGTTGCCAGCAAACAGCAGCAGAGGCACAGCGAACAGTACTAGCAAACAGTCCAATGAACAGGTCAATGGTCAGATGATGGATGATAAGCTGCGATTTAGGGCGCATGGTGTTGTTAGTCTGACCGCTCTCTTTACAATGTCAGCTCTGACAAGCGCGTGAGGGAGACTTGAAAACTACGACTGAGCGGAGGGAGAGGGTTAGTGGTTCAGTGTGATGACAGGGTGTTTTATGAACCACCCGACCCGACAGCGAGACAGAGTTGGCTCACGTCATGGTGCAGCCCCTCGGCGAGAAGAACGAATGGGATTTACTTTCGCTGTGGCAGACACGCATCTTCGTTCTGTACCACCGAATTTACATGTCCTCATCAGAGTCGACTATCTCTCACCCTTTGTGGATTCATCAACCAAATCCCAGTTTGTCCAAAGCCGCATTGAACTTGGCTCGTGAAAATGCCAACCGTCTCTAGAAGCCCCACAACGTCCACGGGGGCCGGCGCCCCACGAGCTGTGGCTTGAAAGGGCATAGCCCGGGATCAGGCATCGATCAAGGGGAACGACACAGCGCTGATTGGCTGGGTGAGGCCCCTGGAACGTCTGGCAGTTGGGGCTGTGGACACTGGCAAAGGCCCCTGGAGGTCCCTGGAAAGTTCCCTGGAAGGTTCCTCCCCTCAGAGCCCCAGCTGGAGGGCGCTGTCGTTTTGCTCGGTTGCGCTGAGTCATGGAACAGCCAGAAACAGCCGTGTTCGGTGCAAGGTGCAAAGTGCAAAGGGTGGCGCGTGCGCAATTCGGTGCCCGTTGTGTTGCTGCTTCAGTGCCACCGTGCCACTATGCCACCGTGCGAGTAGGCCAGCCCAGTGAAAGAAAGAAGAAAAAAAAAGAACAAAAAACACCACCCGCCCGCCGCCTCCCCGTGGCCACGCTCCCTTCTCCTCGTTTCCCTCCAGCCCACAGCATCACGGCCCTGCCGCGCCAATTCCCCCTCCCCCCTCTGGGTGCTTGCACGTCTTCTTTCAGCCTTCTCCCGGCCATCTGTTCTTCCTTGTTTTTCTCTCTCCTCCCGCAGGTTTCAGGTTTCAAGGCTTCGTTTGTCTTCCGCCAAACGCTCCCCTCGTGACGTCGCCGTTGACGTTTTTGCCCGCTTCGCTTGCGCTGCTCTGCTCGCCTCGCCGCCCACCACCTTGTTGCTCCGCGACGAAGATATACTCAACGCCCGACAACAACCCATTCCCAGACGACCGCTTTCTCACAGCGTGCTCGGAGCATTTCAAGACCGACTCTCGCCCCTGCCAACCTCTAAAAACCACACACAACCCCTTGGGTACCGAGTCTGAGCTTTGCGCCCATCGACAAGAACCAGGACAAAGTGCAACGAAAACGACATCCCAAAAAAGAACATTTGACCTCCCCCCTCCCCGACTACAAACAAGACACGCAAGACACGAGATACTGTGACTTTCACTAGCCATGGCGTCTCCGCTGCAGTTTGCCTACCGAACCCAGAAGACCATCGGTGTCTTTGACGCCGCGCCCGTCTACGAGCCTCTCGCTGAGTTCAACAAGCCTGACGGCAACCTCAGGTGCTGTGCCTACTCCCCCTGTGGCCGCTACTTCGGCTGGGCCTCCCCCGAGACCGTCAGCGTCGTCGACGCCTCCACCGGCCGCGTCGTCCTCTCCCTGCCCCTTCTCAACGTTTACGAGCTCGGCTTCTCTCCCCGCGGCAGCTTCGTCATCACCTGGGAACGCCCGAGCAAGGACGAGGCTGGCGACGCGACCAAGAACCTCAAGGTCTGGCGCGTCGTCGAGGAAGGCGTCGATGCCGCCGACAAGCAGCCGCTGGCCCGGTTTGTCCAGAAGCAGCAGAGTGGGTGGAATCTCCAGTACACCGCCGACGAGAAGTACTGTGCTCGCCTCGTCACCAATGAGATCCAGTTCTATGAGAGCCATGATCTCGTCAAGGTGTGGAACAAGCTTCGGGTGGAGGGCGTAACCAACTACGCCCTGGCTCCTGGCTCCCACAACCATGCGGTTGCCGTATTCGTTCCCGAACGCAAGGTCAGTCGAATTGCCTAACCTCGTCTCATGTTCTGCCCGAGTATACACTAACACAATCCTACAGGGTCAACCCGCTGCTGTCAAGGTCTTCAACGTTCCCCTCTTCAACAGCCCCATCTCCCAGAAGACCTTCTTCAAGGGTGACAAGGTCCAGCTGAAGTGGAACAAGCAGGGCTCCAGCCTTTTGGTTCTCGCCCAGACCGACGTCGATCGCTCTGGCAAAAGCTATTATGGCGAGACCAACCTGTATCTTCTGAGCACCTCTGGCGCATTCGATGCTCGCATCACCCTGGACAAGGAGGGCCCGATCCACGACGTCTCGTGGTCCCCAAATTCGAAAGAGTTTGGTGTCGTGTACGGCTACATGCCGGCGAAGGCCACCATCTTCAACCACCGGGCTGTCGCGACTCACACGTTCCCCCTTGCTCCCCGAAACACCATCACCTTCTCCCCGACTGGTCGATTCGTTCTGGTCGCCGGCTTCGGCAATCTTGCCGGTCAGGTCGACGTCTACGATCTCGAGAAGGACTTCCGCAAGGTCACCACCATTGAGAGCGGAAACCCCAGCGTCTGTGAATGGAGTCCCGACAGTCGCTACATCATGACTGCGACTACCTCGCCGCGCCTTCGCGTGGACAACGGCATCAAGCTGTGGCACGTCAGCGGCGGCATCATGTACAACGAAGATATGGTCGAGTTGTACCACGTCGTTTGGCGCCCACAGCCCGCAGACCAGATTGCCGGAGGTGACCCGCTCACCCCCATTCCATCCCCGCACGCCTCGGCCGCGACGTATCTTGGCACGGTCAAGACCCCGAGCAAGCCGGCCGGTGCGTACCGTCCTCCCGGCGCGCGAGGCCTAGCCACGCCTCTGCACTTCAAGCGAGAGGATGAGGGCGGTGCTGCTCATTCTGTGAGCAATGGAACCGCCAACATTGGCCCCAACGGTTTCGGCCGGCAGCGCCGCGCTGTTCCCGGCGCTGATTTGGCTGACTCGGCTTCCGCGGGCGCGAGAACCGTCCCTGGGGCTGAACCCATTGGCGATGAAAACTCGTCCAAGGCCAAGAACAAGAAGAAGCGCAACAAGAAGGCTAACCAGGGCGAGGGACGACCTCAAGGTGAGGGACGACCCCAGGGCGAGCCCAACGGCGGCGCCAGCCTGGCGCCTCCTTCCCGAGATTTCGGAGCTGGTTCCGGAAGCGAGGGACGCAGCCCTGAGCGACGCGGAGGACCCGGTGGTAACAACGCCCATCTCAGAAGCCAGTCTCGAAACAACGGTGGCCGCAGCCGCAGCAATACCCACCGTGGAAACGGACATGGCAATGCCAATGGCAACGGGAACGGGAACAATAACTTTGGTTCTCAGCAAGGTGGCCCCGGTAACCCTGGGCTCGATGCTTCGCAGAACCCTACTGCTAAGAAGATCCGTAGTCTCCAGAAGAAGGTCCGCGCCATCGAGGACCTGGAGATGCGCCTGGCCGGCGGCGAGAAGCTGGAGGACACTCAACTTAAGAAGATCAACACCAAGTCTTCCGTGCTCAAGGAGCTGGATCAGTTGGAGAAGGAGAACTAATGGCTGGCTCTTTGCGGCTTGCTCCTTATGAGCTGACCCATTGATTGGATTTCTCTCTGCATTCAGGAGTTGTACTTTGAGAATTGGCAAGAGAATGGATTGGGACAACGGTCAACAAATGGGTGCACGGTGCTGCGTCGGTTTAAATTCGGATATGCTCGTTGCACAAGGTAACAACATGGTGTGAATAGGCTGGTGTCACATACCTCGCCCTCGTGGCCGCCTCGTCTTAATTGGATGGAACAGGCCGGGATGGTTGGAAGGGCGCCTACTTTCGGTGACAAGGGTGATGAGTAGACGGAAGAAAAAAATGATTAACTACTGCAATTTCATGCCATGTTCCCCATGTCCGTCGTGAAGACTTTGCGCATAACTCTTTAACGAGTAGAAATGTGAATGAGGGCCACGGATACAAACCAACCTCGATGTCCTACACGACAAGCATTTCAGGCTCAATTATGGGCTGCATTCATCGGTGATACAATGGTACATGGATGGGATAAGTCATTGGTGCCTTATTTTCAACTTACGAAAATCGCTGCTGAGCAAGTTGGCGTGGGTTTTCTAGAATTGCTGATCATAGTCAATTAAACCGAAATCACTCTAGCATGAGCTTAGACTCAGCGACACCCCTACATCACGATGCGAGACAAAACATGGCGGTTGTAAGTGACCGCTCTCAATTGCAGATAAAGTACCAGTAAAAACTCAAACAAAAAAACAAAAAACTCATATCATGAATCGACATGTGCATCTTTTGATTCCATCGTGATTTCAGGTGCAGGGCATAACCACTACAACTACCCTACACAAAATTGGTGGGAGCAACGGCCCCACCCAGCCAGCCACCCACACGCTTCCACACGCAAAACTCAAGCCCCCAATTCACTCGCAATAACATCCTGCCACCACATCAAGCAAATGCCTCGGTTCGAGGCCCGGTTAGCTCAATCGGTAGAGCGTGAGACTCTTAAACAGAGATTCACATCTCAAGGTTGCGGGTTCGACCCCCGCATCGGGCTGTTCCTATACACATCTTCCCAGAAAGGGATTGAGCAAATCTTTTTGTTTTTGCATCTGGTGATGGTCTTTCCTCCTCTAAATAGATTGGCAAAGGGAGTGGCGTGTGCCGCAAGGGAGGGCTTGTGTCATCTCTGTGTGCAGAATGCAATGACATGAGTACCAAACTCCTGTGTTCGAATGGATTGAGGCAGACTGGGAAATTTTGTCTTGTCGAACTCAGATCATCAAACAAACATGACAAGTCCTTTAAAAACTTGAACTTAACTAGCCAGATACTAAGCATTATCTCGCTCACAGTTTGGTCGCTGCCGAAAGATGCTCCAGGGCCGTGCTTGGCCAATGTTCTCTTATTTAATCAGCAAAGATACACGATCCTGTCTCAAGCAAGTCAAAGACAACTCTTGTATGGCGCCTTTGCACGGATATGTAGGAGCCATCGCAGAAGATTCTGCGATCTGACTTGATCAGGATGGTCCTCCGTCAATGACTTCTCCTGCACCCTGACTACATGCTGCAATAGAGCGATGGCTGATTTGGTTAGCCCGCTGGCGTGGTTTGCCCGTGCAAGCTCATGCTGTGAGGCGAGCCGATCAAGGTGGTCTTCCGGCAGCGTTTTCTCTTGTATCGCCACGACATCATCGAGCACCTTGGTTGACTCCCTGACCCGACCCTCGCTATACAGGCACCACCTTATCAGATATCCCAGTTCAGCGCTCCTTAATGCATCAACTGCCTTACGAGACCAGTAGATACTAAGGGCGTGTGGTAGGTACTGTCGCCACGGTTCACGGTTCTCCCCTTCGTCTGCCGGAAAGACTTCTAGTAGTCGGGTGAGTACATCCCCCTTCGCCATCTTATCGTCTCCTTGCCTAAGGGACTATGACTGCATCACCGAATGCACTAAGCCATGCATATCAAACACTCCATGTTCCCCTCTTTGATGAATGAACCTATATCTGCGTAGGGTGCCAATTGCCTGAGTTTATTCTTGCTCTGAACTCAGACCCGGCATTATTGACCGGGGTATGGCTTTTGGCTCGATCCAGGGAATGAATGAAAGAAGTCTTGCGGCAGAGGGATTCGTCTTACGGATTTGGTTGAATGAGATGAACCAAGTGGTTGCCACAGCGCCTTGGCTTTGTGTATAGTGAGTATCATCGAGGAAACCTTCGTCCATTAGTCCCATCATGTTCTGACTCGTTCCTTCACAGTGCGCTAAATATTCCACCAGGAGTACCTCGTGCATATTCATATAGGCCTCCGCCTGCATGATTGCGAGTGGGAGATAAGCGAGCTTGTCGAGAAGCTTCGTCGCCACTTCATCGTTGAATTAGTCTATGTTGATCAATGATTTCTCAAGAAGACCCTTGGTATCGTTAAAACTCATCGGTGACAACCTAATCACTCTGGTTTTTTTTTCTTTTTTCCTTTTTTGCAATCTTGACGGCGACCTTTCGTGAACGCGTTGTTATTAGGAGGCGCCCATTGTCACTCTGTGGAATGTAGTCCACGATTCTGCCGGATTCTGAGGACTGGTACAGAATTGTCTCATCGTCCGCGCTATCAAGAACAAGGAGCCACTTCTCGCCTTCTTGGAACCGAGATATGTTCGAACTGCCTCTTTGTGTCCTCGTTTTTAGTTGTGGAAATGCCCGGACTCCTCGCTAAAGCAGCACACGTCTGTTCAAAACTTGCCTTACTCAGCCAGAGCAGGCACCCAGAAGACGGAGTAGTCAGGCATATGTTCCTGTGTCCAGAACACAACCTGCAAAGCCACCTGGGGCTTGCTAATCCCACCTAGGCCTACTAAAGAGACTCGTGCGGCTCCCTTGTCGAAGAGTAGTTCTGTGACCCGATTGAATATATCTTGGCGTCCAACAAACGTGTACTTTTTCGCGAACAGAACATAAGAACTTGGTTGTCCTACCAATGATCAGCCGATTCTTGCTGTTGTGACAATTTTTTGTGTTCTTCAGAACAGCTGGAGGAGCAGATTTAGGGAGAGGGAGAAAAGGAAAATACTTACTAGACCTTTGCTCATCGATGTGATCCGCCTGGATGTAGCTCTCTAAAATAGCCTTTGTCACCGATGCCGCTGTCGCTGCCGCAAAGTTCTGCCAGTGCTTTTGTTTATGAGAGTTTACATAATCGCAGACTCCCTTGACCACACAATGCAGGGTACCTCGGCCCACACCCCGGCGCCTTTCATCTCAAATCTCATTGTTCGGCCTGCCCAGGGTATCTTCGATGGTTTTCTTGCGCATGATCTCACGAGAATACTGTCGGGCGAGATCGTACTGGACCAAGTATCTGCTAAGGATAACGTCTCCCAGTAGAACCTCAGTTCCAGATACTTGTAGCACGGCGCCGCAGATTCCCACCAGGAAGGCGCACTTGATATTGCTGTAACTAGAGCGCAAACTTGCCGCATCACTCGCAGCACTGACCTTGCCCATGCCTGGAAGGAGGAAGAGAACGACGGCAAGATTCCCCATGCCTCCATTCACATAGCGGTTAGGGTCGCCTGGAGCTTTTCCAAACCCGTCCCTTGCTGATCCCAGCATTGGTCCAAACTGTCATAGACGGCATCGTATTAGGCTGGTAGCGCGCAGATGATGGCGATCCGAAAATCGTCCCTACTCAATGGTCGAGGTAACATAGAGTCGTCGGTCTATGGAGCACCAGGGAGAAAGGCAGAAAGCAGTGTGGAGACGGACCAGGCCCTCGTTGCCACGGTTTGGCCCGCCCCAGAAGGATAATGCTGGATCCGAGTGCAACTATGCAAAATGGTTACTGGCGAGATGGCCAATGATTGATCTTTATTGAAGTTCCTCGTCTGGTCGAGTCGGCGACAGAGCGGTTGGAAGGTATGAAAGACAAGTATCCCACAGAAGACAGACACGGCGAGTCACTACCCAAACCCAAGATACGACATGTAAGTAGAACTGTCGAGAGTCACTGGGCTCTGTCCGCCCTGGAAGCTTGGCCGGGTGATGATGTTGGATTGATGTTTGGCTGGTGAGGCGCCCCTGCGGGGTAAACCAACATACAATTGATTCATTGGGAGAGGTGGTGACTACCTACCCAACTTACTGTTGCGAGCAAGCCTCAGGCTCCAAGGCACAACCCTGCGATGCGAGGATGCAGCCTCGCAATTGTACTAGGTACCTAGGTACATAGAGCATGCCTGAATGCCAGGCAGGTCCATGATGTGCGAAGGATATGTACCATGCAAGCAACAATAGAATATTGATACTGTTTTGACCACTTTACTTCGGCCATAGTGAGCATGACGTTAATTTCTATTTTTCTTTCATTGCATTAATATTACAATTTTATATGCTGAATCCTGTGCTGTCGTGTCTGTTCCAGCTGTCTTGCTCATGGCACCTGTCTTCTAGTTGATGTTGAGTGACATGCCCTGAGGTCAGGGAGGAGCCGGCAGTCTTCTCTCCGCACCATGCGCCTGGGTTTCAAACCCTCCATCCTTCTTCTTCTCACCACCGACCTCCGCCGCCCTGAGAAGGAAGATGCCGACCCGCAACAGACTACATGTACAGTGCAAAACCTCTGGCTGCTGTTATGCTTTTGGGTCTAGCAGAGTCACTTGCCCATTTGTGGGGGAGTTGAGGGTGGGTCAAGTGCAGCATCCTCTTGTCCCAGATGATGTTGTCTACCGCTTGCGGTGTTCATCTGGGACGATCCATCACTGAGTAGCTGGTAATAGTTGGCATTTTGGCTGCCAGCGTGCAACGCTCAGTTTTTATCCTCCTCACCAGCAGGCTCAGCAGGCTCAGCAGGCTCAGCAGCCTCCCTTTCTCTCCTCTTCTCAAGCCTCCTCTGGTGCTTGGCTCTCTTAGCATCTATCCTGTCTTGTTCTTCGCGCAGCTGCTGCACAGCCGGACTCTTGGCTCGAATCTTGGCTCCGTATCGCCAGAAGATGAATGGAATCGGAATCATGGCGACTTCAAGCAAGCCCAGGAGAGTGCCTGCCCACTGAGGCGTCATGGCCTCATACATCTTCGGTCCAGCTAGGGGAAGTGTAGCTCCAAAGATGCTTCGAATCACGGCATTACCAGCGAGGGCACTTGCGGCATAGATATTGTACGTGCCGGCAAGGTAGTTGGCGCCATAGATGAAACTGAGTGTGTTTCCTGCGCCAAAGGGAATGCCAAAGGCAATGGGAATCGCCCAGTGGATGGAATTTGGGAGGCACGTCCAAGAGAAGACAAGCTGACCGATCGGGGTGAGAATAGAGCCGATGGCCATGACAAGTGCAGTTGCCTCGGGCTGAACCCGACCTGTTTCGGGGTCTCGTGGTTGAGCGTTGATGAGTTTCCGAAGGAGAGGCTCGCAGACAATAGCTATCATTGTTCCAACACCAATGCCAGTGAACGAAAGACCCGCCATGCCCGAATTCCATCCTCGATGCTGCGCGAACACGATCGGGTACGCAACAAAGCAGAGATACAAGATGCCGTAAATCACGGAAATCCTGCGACCGAGTTAGGGACAACAAGAAGCCGGGCTTGGGCGCAGAGGATATTTCTCGCTTCTGCTATAAGTAACATACCAGATATTCAGGAACCACAAGATGGGCTCCGTAGCGAACAGAATGAAAGGACGGCTCAAGTTGACCTTCAGCAAATGCAGGGAAGACACCTTTTGGTCATATTGACACCACCACCGAGGGTCATCCGTCTCTTTGCGTATCCGGGCTGCCTTTTTCTTGAGAATCGCGGGGTGATATGTTTCCTTGCAGGTCGCCATCATGAGAGTTCCGACGCCGCCCAGAATCAAGACAATCCAGTTGTCCCATCGCCAGCCGAGATATTGGTAGACAAATCCTCCAATGATGGGCCCCAAAGATGGTCCGTTGAGCGGCGCAATCGACCACATCGACATGGCAAGGGCCAGATACTCGGGATCGGCAATATCGACGATGCTTCCAGGGCTGTTGGAAATCAATGCGGCACCAAAGAGAGCTCTGGAACAATTT